CAGTTACCCCCAGGGGTTCCCAAGGGGATCCCAGTTACTCCCAGTTACTCCCAGTTGCCCCCAGAGGCATCCCAGTTGCCCTCAGTTGCCCCTAGGGGTGTCCAAGTTGCCCCCAGGGGCTCCCAAAGGGATTCCCAGTTACTCCCAGTTACTCCCAGTTGCCCCTAGTGGTGTCCAAGTTACTCCCAGTTGCCCCCAGAGGATCTCCAGGGATTTCCAGTTACTCCCAGTTGCCCCCAGAGGCTCCCAAGGGGATCCCAGTTACTCCCAGTTACCCCCAGAGGCTCCCAAGGGGATCCCAGTTACTCCCAGTTACTCCCAGTTGCCTCTAGGGGCATCCCAGTTGCCCTCAGAGGCTCCAAAGGGGTTCCCAGTTGCACCCAGTTACGCCCAGGGGCGTCCCAGTTACCCCCAGGGGTTCCCAAAGGGTTCCCAGTTACTCCCAGTTACTCCCAGTTGCCCCTAGGGGTGTCCCAGTTACCCGCAGGGGCTCCCAAAGGGTTTCCAGTTACCCCCAGTTGCCCCCAGGGGCGTCCCAGTTACCCTCAGGGGCTCCCAAGGGGTTCCCAGTTACACCCAGGGGCATCCCAGTTATGCCCAGTTGCCCCCAGGGGCTCCCAGGGGCTCCAAAGGGCTCCCAGTTACTCCCAGTTACTCCCAGTTACACCCAGTTGCCCCCAGTTACTCCCAGTTACCCCCAGGGGTGTCCCAGTTACTCCCAGTTGCCCTCAGGGGCGTCCCAGTTACCCCCAGAGGCTTCCCAGTTGCCCTCAGAGGCTCCCAAGGGGTTCCCAGTTACTCCCAGTTACTCCCAGTTGCCCCTAGTGGTGTCCAAGTTACTCCCAGTTGCCCCCAGAGGATCTCCAGGGATTTCCAGTTACTCCCAGTTACTCCCAGTTGCCCCCGGGGGTATCCCAGAGGCTTCCCAGTTACCCTAAGAGGCTACCAAGGGATTCCCAGTTACACCCAGTTGCCCCCAGGGGTTCCCAGTTACTCCCAGTTGCCCCTAGGGGCGTCCCAGTTGCCCTCAGAAGCTCTTCAGGGGTTCCCAGTTGCACCCAGTTATCCCCAAGGGATTCCCAGTTACTCCCAGTTACTCCCAGTTGCCCCTAGGGGTGTCCCAGTTACTCCCAGTTGCCCCCAGAGGATCTCCAGGGGTTCCCAGTTACTCCCAGTTACCCCCAGGGGTGTCCAAGTTACTCCCAGTTGCCCCCAGAGGCTTCCCAGTTGCCCCCAGTTGCCCCCAGGGGCGTTCCAGTTGCCCCCAGGGGCTCCCAGAGGATCTCCAGGGGTTCCCAGTTGCACCCAGTTGCCCCTAGGAGCATCCCAGTTGCCCTCAGAGGCTTCCCAGTTGCCCCCAGGGGCTCCAAAGAGCTCCCAGTTACCCCCAGTTGCCCCCAGAGGCTCTCCAGGGGTTCCCAGTTGCACCCAGGGACATCCAAGAGGCTTCCCAGTTACCCTCAGAGGCTCCCAAGGGGTTCCCAGTTGCACCCAGTTACTCCCAGTTGCCCCCAGGGGCATCCCAATTACCCCCAGGGGCTCTCAGAGGCTCTCCAGGGGTTCCCAGTTACTCCCAGTTACTCCCAGTTACTCCCAGTTACTCCCAGTTACTCCCAGTTACTCCCAGTTACTCCCAGTTACTCCCAGTTACTCCCAGTTACTCCCAGTTACTCCCAGTTACTCCCAGTTACTCCCAGTTACTCCCAGTTACTCCCAGTTACTCCCAGTTACTCCCAGTTACTCCCAGTTACTCCCAGTTACTCCCAGTTACTCCCAGTTACTCCCAGTTACTCCCAGTTACTCCCAGTTACTCCCAGTTACTCCCAGTTACTCCCAGTTACTCCCAGTTACTCCCAGTTACTCCCAGTTACTCCCAGTTACTCCCAGTTACTCCCAGTTACTCCCAGTTACTCCCAGTTACTCCCAGTTACTCCCAGTTACTCCCAGTTACTCCCAGTTACTCCCAGTTACTCCCAGTTACTCCCAGTTACTCCCAGTTACTCCCAGTTACTCCCAGTTACTCCCAGTTACTCCCAGTTACTCCCAGTTACTCCCAGTTACTCCCAGTTACTCCCAGTTACTCCCAGTTACTCCCAGTTACTCCCAGTTACTCCCAGTTACTCCCAGTTACTCCCAGTTACTCCCAGTTACTCCCAGTTACTCCCAGTTACTCCCAGTTACTCCCAGTTACTCCCAGTTACTCCCAGTTACTCCCAGTTACTCCCAGTTACTCCCAGTTACTCCCAGTTACTCCCAGTTACTCCCAGTTACTCCCAGTTACTCCCAGTTACTCCCAGTTACTCCCAGTTACTCCCAGTTACTCCCAGTTACTCCCAGTTACTCCCAGTTACTCCCAGTTACTCCCAGTTACTCCCAGTTACTCCCAGTTACTCCCAGTTACTCCCAGTTACTCCCAGTTACTCCCAGTTACTCCCAGTTACTCCCAGTTACTCCCAGTTACTCCCAGTTACTCCCAGTTACTCCCAGTTACTCCCAGTTACTCCCAGTTACTCCCAGTTACTCCCAGTTACTCCCAGTTACTCCCAGTTACTCCCAGTTACTCCCAGTTACTCCCAGTTACTCCCAGTTACTCCCAGTTACTCCCAGTTACTCCCAGTTACTCCCAGTTACTCCCAGTTACTCCCAGTTACTCCCAGTTACTCCCAGTTACTCCCAGTTACTCCCAGTTACTCCCAGTTACTCCCAGTTACTCCCAGTTACTCCCAGTTACTCCCAGTTACTCCCAGTTACTCCCAGTTACTCCCAGTTACTCCCAGTTACTCCCAGTTACTCCCAGTTACTCCCAGTTACTCCCAGTTACTCCCAGTTACTCCCAGTTACTCCCAGTTACTCCCAGTTACTCCCAGTTACTCCCAGTTACTCCCAGTTACTCCCAGTTACTCCCAGTTACTCCCAGTTACTCCCAGTTACTCCCAGTTACTCCCAGTTACTCCCAGTTACTCCCAGTTACTCCCAGTTACTCCCAGTTACTCCCAGTTACTCCCAGTTACTCCCAGTTACTCCCAGTTACTCCCAGTTACTCCCAGTTACTCCCAGTTACTCCCAGTTACTCCCAGTTACTCCCAGTTACTCCCAGTTACTCCCAGTTACTCCCAGTTACTCCCAGTTACTCCCAGTTACTCCCAGTTACTCCCAGTTACTCCCAGTTACTCCCAGTTACTCCCAGTTACTCCCAGTTACTCCCAGTTACTCCCAGTTACTCCCAGTTACTCCCAGTTACTCCCAGTTACTCCCAGTTACTCCCAGTTACTCCCAGTTACTCCCAGTTACTCCCAGTTACTCCCAGTTACTCCCAGTTACTCCCAGTTACTCCCAGTTACTCCCAGTTACTCCCAGTTACTCCCAGTTACTCCCAGTTACTCCCAGTTACTCCCAGTTACTCCCAGTTACTCCCAGTTACTCCCAGTTACTCCCAGTTACTCCCAGTTACTCCCAGTTACTCCCAGTTACTCCCAGTTACTCCCAGTTACTCCCAGTTACTCCCAGTTACTCCCAGTTACTCCCAGTTACTCCCAGTTACTCCCAGTTACTCCCAGTTACTCCCAGTTACTCCCAGTTACTCCCAGTTACTCCCAGTTACTCCCAGTTACTCCCAGTTACTCCCAGTTACTCCCAGTTACTCCCAGTTACTCCCAGTTACTCCCAGTTACTCCCAGTTACTCCCAGTTACTCCCAGTTACTCCCAGTTACTCCCAGTTACTCCCAGTTACTCCCAGTTACTCCCAGTTACTCCCAGTTACTCCCAGTTACTCCCAGTTACTCCCAGTTACTCCCAGTTACTCCCAGTTACTCCCAGTTACTCCCAGTTACTCCCAGTTACTCCCAGTTACTCCCAGTTACTCCCAGTTACTCCCAGTTACTCCCAGTTACTCCCAGTTACTCCCAGTTACTCCCAGTTACTCCCAGTTACTCCCAGTTACTCCCAGTTACTCCCAGTTACTCCCAGTTACTCCCAGTTACTCCCAGTTACTCCCAGTTACTCCCAGTTACTCCCAGTTACTCCCAGTTACTCCCAGTTACTCCCAGTTACTCCCAGTTACTCCCAGTTACTCCCAGTTACTCCCAGTTACTCCCAGTTACTCCCAGTTACTCCCAGTTACTCCCAGTTACTCCCAGTTACTCCCAGTTACTCCCAGTTACTCCCAGTTACTCCCAGTTACTCCCAGTTACTCCCAGTTACTCCCAGTTACTCCCAGTTACTCCCAGTTACTCCCAGTTACTCCCAGTTACTCCCAGTTACTCCCAGTTACTCCCAGTTACTCCCAGTTACTCCCAGTTACTCCCAGTTACTCCCAGTTACTCCCAGTTACTCCCAGTTACTCCCAGTTACTCCCAGTTACTCCCAGTTACTCCCAGTTACTCCCAGTTACTCCCAGTTACTCCCAGTTACTCCCAGTTACTCCCAGTTACTCCCAGTTACTCCCAGTTACTCCCAGTTACTCCCAGTTACTCCCAGTTACTCCCAGTTACTCCCAGTTACTCCCAGTTACTCCCAGTTACTCCCAGTTACTCCCAGTTACTCCCAGTTACTCCCAGTTACTCCCAGTTACTCCCAGTTGCCCCCAGAGGCTTCCCAGTTACCCCCAGTGCCTCCCAGTGCCTCCCAGTTGCCTCCCAGTTGCCCTCCAGTTGCCCTCGGTGCCCTCCAAACCATTCCCAGTTGCCCTCAGTGCTTCCCAGTGCCTCCCAGTTGCCCCCAATGCCTCCCAGTTGCCTCCCAGTTGCCTCCCAGTGCCTCCCAGTGCCTCCTAGTTACCCCCAGTGTCTCCCAGTTGCCTCCCAGTGCCTCCCAGTGCCTCCTAGTTACCCCCAGTGTCTCCCAGTTGCCTCCCAGTGCCTCCCAGTGCCTCCTAGTTACCCCCAGTGTCTCCCAGTTGCCTCCCAGTGCCTCCCAGTGCCTCCTAGTTACCCCCAGTGTCTCCCAGTTGCCTCCCAGTGCCTCCCAGTGCCTCCCAGTGCCTCCCAGTGCCTCCCAGTGCCTCCCAGTTGCTCCCAGTGCCGCACCGGGGCAGGTTGTAGAGGGGGGTCATGCGGAAACAGGCCACCACCGCCCGGCGCCGCTGCTTGGAGAGGAGCTTGTGCCAAACGGCCTTCTTGGACTTGTAGGGGTGCTCCGTCTGGGGGGAGTGGGGTG